GCCGGGGCGGCCCTCGCCGCGTCCTCCCAGAGGGTGAACGCGGAGGGCGGCTCGGGGTTCCGCTTCCCCGGCTTCTCCTCCCCCGCCCCCGCCCCTGCCCCCGCACCCGCCCCAGGCGGGCCGCCGCCCGCCGCGCCCGCCGCGGAGGAGGCGCCGCCCAAGCCCCGGAACGACAACCCGCGGACCACCGCCGCGGGGTTCGACCCCGACGCGCTGGAGCGCGCGGTCGAGCTGCTGCGCGAATTCGAAAAGAGAGATGATGCTGATGTCAAAAAGGTAGGTGTTCGAGGGCCGGGGGGAGGCTCAGTTATGTCTGTGCTTTGGTTCTGACGTTGACACATGGTTGTGCAGTCGTTCGCCCATGCTAACAAGCGGGAGGAGACGCGGCAAGCGGAGTTCGCTGCAAGGAAGGCCGACTACCTGAAGGAGGCTGCGCAGATCGAGCTCGTGAGATTACTTTCTGTCATCTCGTTGTTTGTTCTTACTTCGTTGGTCATGATCCTTTGAACGAATTGGCATTAGACTCGCACTGTTGCAAGAGTTGGCAAATATCTTCCGAACGATTTCAGGCATTTCAATATCACGAGGTGTTGTGTACATTACTGCTAGTACTTTCTGTTCCATTTTACTTGTTGGTTGGATAGCGATAGTCTAGACCAAGCAAGGGGCATATGCAATTTACTAGGTGTTATCCAAGAATGGAAGAAAAGGAGAATTAAATTCAGGTCCAATGGTGTACTCTTCAATGAGTTAGGGGATGCCACACACAATAATTGCCGATCTTTCAGTGGCACACACACACACGAAAATAAAACTGCTATTTATGTACTATTCTCTTGCTTCCCGGTAGTTCGCATGGAGTTTTTGGTACTTAATTGCGATGCATATATATGTTTGCTACTTATAATCCTGTGGATACCAACTGCTTGACTGAAATCAAGTTCTACTGCATCCTATTTTATTACATGGTGTAAATGTTTCAGATCATGCCCATTTATATGTATTTTACTAAACATATATCTTCACTGCTAAATTTATTTCTTGTATATTTGTGTGTTTATGTGGAGTTGCCTTTTGTCACATTTGCAGGAGAGGACACGTGTAGAGTATGAAGAGAAGAAAAAGCTTGCGCAAAGTCAAGCTGAAATAAAGGCACAAGTAGCTCGATATGAGGATGAGCTACGAAGGAAGAGAGCGCAGCATGAGCATGAGGCACAGAGGGCAAGAAACCAGGAGCTCGTGAAGATGCAAGAAGAATCTGCAATTAAGCTAGAACAGCTGAGACGCCAGAGTGAAGAGGAAATCAATGAAATACGGAGACGGACAGAGAAGGAAAAGGCACGAATAGAGCAGGAGACTATGAGACTGCAAAAAATGGCAGATGCGGAGGCGAAAGCACTTGAACTGCAACTGTCTGAAGATGTGAAACGGCGATTGCTTATTGAGCGGGCAAATGCTGAGCGGGAGAAGTGGGTCCAAGCAATAAATACAACTTTTGAGCATATAGGAGGTATACCTTAGCAAGTTGCTATTTCCACATGCTTATTGAATATAAACATGTGAATTTCTTGGATGTTTTCTACTATAAGCTATTTCTACATGTTTGGATCGCATATGTTGAATGGGTAAACCATTCCAAAATTATGGCCTTAAGTTTAAACCTAGGGCAAATTACCCCAGGTGAATCTTTAGCACTTACTCTGTCTAGAAATATTTATGTTTCAGTGCAATTAGTAAGGAGTTAATTCCAGAGATCACATGTTTTTAGACGAAAAGAGATCACATGTTCCCTTCTCTTATTCCCTCAAGTGCGCATGAATTAATCTCTAAGCTCACATGTTCTCTTTCTCTCTAATGAATCACATGCACGCTGCTCATTTCCCATGTATGCACTGTTTGCACTTATAAGTGATGTTGGAGTGCAGCTTCAACTTATCCAAGGTGATTAAGATATTCCTGAGAAGTGGCATTATAGGAGAAGTGGAGTTAGAAGTGCGTATAATTTTTAAACTACCTACATATTTGGATAATATGAGATGGTAAACACCAGATATGGAGCCAGTAATTTGGACACGTGGGAGCCAAAGAGATAGCAATTCCGGAAGAAATACATTATATCAAGTGTCAATTGACATAGTGCCGCAACATATGTTTGGCAATAATGTTGATCCGTTGTGAGCATCACCAAATCACGACTGGTAGCAGACTAGTTGACAAAACAATCATAGTGGTGGCAGGCTGCCTTTCACTTACCCTAGTGCCGAATGACAAACCATTTATCTAGTCTTGTGTTGTCTGAGCACTTGGGTCTGCACGGACTGGACCTGAGTGTCTAATAGTGCTGCAGTGCTATAGGAAATTCCGGTCTAACATTTTTATTTTGACATTTTAGGTGGTCTCCGGACGATATTAACTGATCAGAATAAGCTAGTAGTAGCAGTTGGAGGCGCAACTGCACTTGCAGCTGGGATTTACACAACAAGGTAAAATTCATAATTGTACTCTCTATGTTTGAACTTCAGACATAGCGATTGGTAAATGACCATAAATTGAAAGGTATGCTCCAAGTGTATCTTGACCTTGTAAACTAAGGAATTAATTGCTTGAAACTGCTGTTGTGCATCCACTACCATAAATTGAAAGGTATGCTCCAAGTGTATCTTGACCTTGTAAACTAAGGAATTAATTGCTTGAAACTGCTGTTGTGCATTCACTTGATTGCAAGTTGCAACTTCTAAAATGTACTCTGTAATTCACAATGTAAGTACTTCTAGAATTTTTACCAATTCAGTCATTTCTAGGTTTGACCATCTGTAAAGAAGGAATTACTGTCATTCATGACATCAAATTGATATTACTAGATTCATCACGAGATATTTATGTGAGGCAACCTAGTTGCGTACATTGAAGACAAAATGACTCACATTGTGAATCTATGAGACCATTTTGTGCCACAATAATACTGGAAGCTATTATATTTTGTTGGATTCTTGTAAAAATTATAAAGCAGTATTACTGAATACTGATTGCTCTTCTACCGTCAATCCACTGTTCTTCATTTCATGTGCCTTGGCCCTTCTGGTGAAGACTGTTTTGTGTCAAAATAAACATAGTTCTTGACCTTCTTATCCTTTATTGCTGAATCCAATCTTGCTTTCTTTAGCCCCAACAACACAAATTACATTTTGTAGTTATATTTATATTTTTCATTTGTGCATGTGATGCTCTTATACAATTAACGCATTTGCCTCCAGGGAAGGTGCAAGAGTAGTCTGGGGTTATGTTGACCGTATTCTGGGTCAGCCATCACTGATCAGAGAGTCATCACGAGGGAAGTATCCTTGGTCAGGTGTCCCTTCACGTGCTATGAGTACTGTGACTAGCAAACTGAAAAATGGGAGCAATCTGGGGAAGGATGGGAAAGGTTTTGGTGATGTCATTCTGAATCCATCTCTTCAGAAGAGAGTGAACCAACTAGCTAATGCCACCGCAAACACGAAGCTTCACCAAGCCCCCTTTAGGAACATGCTTTTCTATGGGCCTCCTGGCACAGGGAAAACAATGGCAGCAAGAGAACTTGCTCGCGAATCTGTAAGTTACACAAGCCAATTCCCTGTGAGCACTAATGCAATAATTTGAAATATTATAAGTTCACTAACATTATAACCATTTACAGGGACTAGATTATGCACTGATGACTGGTGGAGATGTTGCACCATTAGGATCGCAAGCAGTCACCAAGATTCATCAGTTATTTGACTGGGCAAAGAAATCTAATAGAGGTTTACTCCTCTTCATTGATGAAGCTGACGCTTTCCTGTGCGAGTAAGTGATAGCCAAATCTTCAGACTACTGTTTGTTAACTAGATTCCATGATATCATGTGATTTTGCAGCATTTGATATTTCAGAAAGTATTTGAAATTGTCGTGTAATTGCTAAACATCAGCAGTAGAAGGGGTAGCAATGTTGTGGCTATTTCTATCCTCTATAATTGTCATGTCGCTTCTTCCTATGTCCGATACCACTGAGATATAGCTGCTCTCAAGTCCTGTACTTCTTGTTGGTAATATGTTTTGCCTTTACCCAACTGCAGCATTTGACATTTCTTTAATTCTGCAGACGGAACAAGACATACATGAGCGAAGCTCAAAGGAGTGCTCTGAATGCTCTCCTTTTCCGGACAGGTGACCAGTCCAAGGACATTGTGCTTGCACTAGCAACCAACCGGCCTGGTGACCTTGACTCCGCTGTTGCTGACCGTATCGATGAGGTTCTTGAATTCCCCCTGCCTGGGGAAGAAGAGAGGTCCAAGCTTGTCAAGCTATACCTTGACAAGTACATAGTGAAGGCTGGCGAAAAGCGAAAGGGCTTGTTCAGCTTCTTCCGCCGCCAGCCTCAGAAGATAGCGGTGAAGGGGATCACCGACGAGTTGATCCGGGAGGCTGCCGCCAAGACCGACGGCTTCTCTGGAAGAGAGATTGCGAAGCTGATGGCGAGCGTGCAGGCCGCTGTGTACGGGAGCACGGAGTGCGAGCTGACCCCGGGCCTGTTCCGCGAGGTTGTAGATTACAAGGTCGCCGAGCACCAGCAGAGGAGAAAGATAGCTGGTCATGCCTAGGAGTAGATTGCTACAAATGTTCAGTTCGGGAGAGAGTGCCTGGACGGGGGGCCGGTGATTCACCTGCCTCGTCTTCGCTGATTCTTTTTGCTTTGCTATATGCTGACACCTGGGCGGAATTTTGGAGGCTTACATGTATCTACAACGTGAACATGATGCACTTCACTTCAACAAGCTCGGCATTTTTCTGTTCTATTTGTCCGCATACACTAGCCTTTGGTGGCATGATTTGATTTTACTAATAATATAGTCATCGACAGTCGCTGTAACTTTGATTGGGCTCTTTGCACCTGTCGAGAAACTCGACCAATATTTAGAGCCGCCCCTTGCGAAATTAAACATAGGGGCATATTTGTATCAGCAAAATCTTTTTTCCTCCTTTTTCTTTTGTGAAGGGAAGATCCCGGCTTTTGCATCATGGCGATGCACACAGCCGACCCGCACCATCTCCCCTCCTTAAACATCATAAGGCATTTTAGTAACACATCGTATTTTATGCAGCGGAGAACTAAAATACTCCCTCTGTGAACTAATATAATAGTGATCTAAATGCTCATATATTAGATTACTCCCTCTGTAAACTAGTATAATATAATAGTGATCTAAACGCTCTTATATTAATTTACAGAGGTAGTAGTAAATTATAAGGAAGGATCATAGCAGCAGTGCTGCTCAAAATGAATCCAACCAACCCAATTTCGTCTTAAACAAGTAAATGTGATGATGCAAGTGCAGATTTCTTTTCACTGGTATATAAAGTGTGTACATAAATATATAGAAACAATCCACACAAAAGCCTGTTGCTAGTTGCAACCGGAGATTCAACACGGCTGTATCCACAGCTCGTAGAGACGGTGGTGATGGAAGATACAACAATGTACAGATATAGTCGAGACGGCATCCAGGCTCATTCAGCAGGGCGCTGGGTCTCAGGCACGTCGCACTCGTCAAGCAGCGCCAGGATGTTATGCTCAGGGGCGCTCACGGAGGGCAGTATGGCGCGCCTCCGGAGCGCAGACCGCGACCTTGTGGTGCTGCTGTCGGGCTCGAGCTGTGATCCTTCCTTCACGACCGGAAGGTCTGTCCTCGGCCTCCCGCCCGCTGTAGACATCCTCTCTTGCCATATCCTCCCATCCTAGCAACAATCAATCAATGAGTAAAGCCAGTAAGGAGCCAATATGCTTGTACTATCTGGTGCTGGGAATATATAGAGAGAGGAAAGATCAAACTTTCAAGTATATATAAAAGCCGGCATGTCGTCACAGCTGTATTTCTGCTACACAAGTTCGCTACCATGTTTGTCTTTGTGGTAGTGATATCATATTCTCCCGTGGTTCTTGCTGCTTGCAGTGGACTACATGCGTAACACAATACAAACATGCAATCATTCAAAAACGAGACACATCATGGCTTACATGCAGTATAGATGGCTCAGGAAGCGGGCATTTCACTGGTTGGTCAAGGTTGACAGGCTCCACAGGGTGCTCCACCGGCTTGAACTCGATGCCGACCTCAATGCCGTGTGGGCTATCTCCAGGATCGGCTGCCGGCTCAGACTCCCCGGTCTCCATGTTGGGCGCCAATGTCTCCACAACCTCCTGCACCATCAGAGCGAAATTCGTCAAATTAGTACTACCAATTTCATTTCCCAAAACTGTTAACTCACTAGAGCAGTTGGGCAAGACAGCCAAGAGGTAACAACTGCTCTTGGATTTACCAAATCAATCAAGAACAATAACCGAGTAATACAAAATTTAGGATACTAACCTAAAAAGGTTGGATTACATTTAGGATATTAACATAAAAAGATCAAACTTTCCCCAATATAGCACAGAATACTCCTTTTTTTTTCTGACGAATCCGCAAAGAATGTTATGCTACGATGTTCTCGAATTCCTACTATTCTCCTATACTGCCCACATCATGGATTCATGCTGAGATTGTGAAATCCAAACCTGAGATCGGTTCTGATTAATCCATGTAAACAAGCGCAGCAAGCATATACGTAGTAGGTTCAACTCTATCTTGAACCGTACCAAACAAAATCAGCTAAAGCAGAAATCCTCCCTAAAGGAATCCTAATTTGAAGAACAGGATGAGGAAAGCGGAGGAGCTACCGTGTGCTGGAGACCGCACCATCCACTCATCATGAGACGAATACGGGATCAATCGAAATAGCTCAAATCTGAAACTTCCAGGACCTCGTAGAGCTAAAACAACGTAGCCTTTACATACCGTATCTACAGGCAGATCTCTCCTCTGGGCAAGTAAACTAGGGAGCAAGTAGGAATAGAGTAGGGATGGGCACGATAGATAGGAGACAAGAAAGGAGGAGAAGGGGGAGCTCACTACGGCACTCTTGGCGCGGCGGTGGCCGGCGCCGGAAGAGAACCTGGAGAAGATTCCGACCATCGTCCCCGCGGCTGCCGCCAACCGTCCTGGCTCGAAGCTTCGGAAAACTGTTTTTCTTGTGCAGGGGAGCGCTGATCGATCGAGTGATTGACTTGTCGGAGTGGCTTTAGCTCCCTCCTTTTTTCCCCATCTGGCCTAAATCGCTAAAACTACACACAAATGTGACGGATTGGTGATATTGGGAAAGTGGGGTATCTCGTTCCTCTCTATCTATTTATTTTGAGCAAACAATCAGACTTCACTAATTAATACTCTCTCTCTATATATATATAAACTTTTATAGTACATCGTTAGGAGTAATTAATTAGATATAGTATATATATATTTTTAAATGGAGGAGGACCCGCTGCATCTAGACGATGCATGCAACCACTTTATTAATTATTCACACAAGACCTTATAAAATCATATAACAGTAAAACTAAAGCCACCGTCTAGGCAATATCTGTTGCTACTCTTATCCAGTTGATATAGGGATGCTGATAGTGTGGGTCTAATACCAAACAGACCTCGCAGACAAACCTAACATCTAAGACCTGAGGTCCCAACCAGGACGTCTGCCGGGTATGGGACATCCATCAGTCCGGCGCAGTCCTCAACCAGGACGCCTACCGGGTATGAGGCCGCCGCAGCCACCTGCCACCAATCCATCTTCAGTGCCGTGCTGCTGCATCTACCTTGCCCGGTCTAGCTGCCGTCGACGCCACCACGACGCCAGACAACGCCACCATCCTGCGCTCGTCCATCATCACACGCCCACCGGCGAGACCCCGCTGCTCCATGCCGCTGAGACCCGCGTTGTCGGTGTGCCAGATGCCACGCCGCTCCCCCGACACGAAACACCACCTGCTGCCACTGGTCCCATCCCCTCCGCCTGCAGTTCCTCAAACCGAGCACCCAATCGCCCCAGGCGATGCCTCCAAGAAGGACACGACACACGCAGTGCCGCCGCCGTCAAATCTAAGGAGATTTAGGGTTTTCACTCGGGCATGAGGTCGGGGTGGAGGGCAGGGACCTCGACGGCGCCTGCAAGTAGGAGAATGGTGACCCTGGTCGTCGTCACCGTCGGGATGAACGAGTCATCCAGAGTTTCCTCCGGTCTGATGTCATCTCTACCAGCCCCGCGAACGCACCGAGGCCGATGACTGCGATCATAAGCCACCAAGTGCAGCGGGAGAGAGCCTGCAGCGCGGAGAAGATCCACCGGTGACTCACGCCCACGCGGTAAGACGCCGTCCATCCACCCCTGCGAACGTCGCCAGCCGAGGACGCCGTCGCCATGCTTAACGGGGCCGCCGCCCCTGGTCCAGGTTCCTTCGCGAAGGCCGGAGTGGCGAGATCCACCGCGAGCGACGAGATCCGGCACCGCGCGGTCGACGCCATCGCCCAAGCCCACTGTCGACCGATCCCGCTGTCGCCGGGAGCCCGCACGCTGCTGGAAGTCCCACACCCATGGATCTGGGCACCGCCACGAGTCCGCCGCCTCCGGGATCCGCCACACCGTCAGGAGGGCCACACCCCGCGGATTAGGACGCCCGAGCCGCCATGGATCCGGGAACGGGAAGAGAGACCCTCCACCGCCGCCGTCGCACGCACGGGCTTTGCCTGACGCCGACCATGGAAAGCGGCGGAGGGAGAGAAGGGCGCTGGAAGGATTAGGCGGCGACGGCGGTGGAGCCCTCCCGAGTCGCCCAAGAGGTACGTGGATAGGGGAGCCCTCCACGGAACAGAGTGTGGCAGGCCAGATCTCCAAATACTCGTTACATCAAAAGGAAAAAAACCCAAATACTCGTAATGGGACTATCCTAACTAGTACTGCCTCCGTCCCAAAATAAGTGTTTTAACTTTGTACTAATCTATATCTCTACTATCTAAAAAATAGATAAGGTTCCTTTTCCTGCCGTTGGACCATGTTCCGCCCTCCCCTACGTTCGCCCATCGTCCCACTACACATCGTAAGCCTCCTCCCCCGACCAAACGAAACCGGATTGCAAACAACGCACACAACACAACGAAAGAACCAGCGAAAAAACCCATTCCAAAGGAAACACACGCACATAGCGGCCCATGCCGCCTCTCGTCTACCTCCTTACTCGGATCACTCAGATCCTGCCTGACATGACCATTAACGCCGCCATCCACTGGTTCCACCAACGCCTTGGCATTGTGGCCTTCCCAGCCACCTCTTCACACGCCTCATGATGCCCCAATCCTCATCTCCATGTGCCATGGCCTCCCCTGCTATGTCGCCCCCGCACAGTCTCCATCGACATCCCCTTCTTTTTGGATCCGGGTGCCTGGGTATGCTCGTCCGTAGCATGATGGGCGTTGGAGGGCACCGATGGGACACCGTGATGTCCTCACAAAATCTCCCCATCTCACATCGAGGGCTCCACATCTCTGGCACACCGTGTTCACTAGAGGCAGATGAGCGCGGATGAACAACAGGGATTTTTCATCTGGGCTCCCAGCATGGGCGCCCTAGGCGGGTCAACGGAGGTGTGGGCACGGCAAAGAGGCTCAAGGTAACAACGTCCATAGAGGAGTTTGGGGCCGTTGTCCACGGGTTCACCTCCAACACGATGCACAACAGCTGCGCTTGAGCAGAGGGGTAGCAGCCACAACAACCTGGAGGTACTACTAGGGAGATGGCTCATGTGGAGATTCAATTTGACCAACCGCTTCACGCCCTTCCCGCACCATGTCATGATTATCCTCGACTAACTCCTAGGTCCGTCATCCCTCCATGCCCGTTAATTCCTCTTTGCTAAAAATTAGTAGACCACTTTGCTAACTTTTAGCGCTAAAACTGAAACATACACACATGTATCTCTATTATCTAAAAAATAGGTAAGGTTCCTTTTCCTACCGTTGGACCATGTTCCGCCCTCCCCTTCATCTGCCCATCGTCCCACTACACATCGTAGGCCCCCTCCCCCGGTTTTCCCCTGACCAAACTAAACTGGATTGCAAACAACGCAGACAACGTAACAAACCAGCGAAAAAACCATTCTGAAGGAAACGCACGCATGTAGAGACCCCCGCTGCCTCTCATCTCCCTCCTTACTCGGATCGCTCAGATCCCGCCTGACATGACCATTAACGCCGCCATCCACTGGTTCCCGCCAACACCTTGGCATTGTGGCATCCCCAGACACCTCTTCACACACCCCATGATGCCCCAATCCTCATCTCCACGTGCCATGGCCTCCCCTGCTACGTCGCTGCCGCACAGTCTCCATCAGCATCCCCTTCTTTTTGGATCCAGGTTCCTGGGTATGCTCGCTCGTAGCACGATGGGCATTGGAGGGCATTGATGACCCACAAGTATAGGGGATCTATCGTAGTCCTTTTGATAAGTAAGAGTGTCAAACCCAACGAGGAGCAGAAGGAAATGACAAGTGGTTTTCAGCAAGGTATTCTCTGCAAGCACTGAAATTATCGGTAACAGGTAGTTTTGTGATAAGATAATCGTAACGGGTAACAAGTAAATAAAGTAACTAAGGTGCAGCAAGGTGGCAGCAAAGGACAAGCCTGGACAAACTCTTATATAAAGCAAAGCGCCCCGAGGACACATGGGAATTGTTGTCAAGCTAGTTTTCATCATGCTCATATGATTTACATTTGTTACTTTGATAATTTGATATGTGGGTGGACCGGTGTTTGGGTGCTGCCCTTCCTTGGACAAGCCTCCCACTTATGATTAACCCCTCTCGCAAGCATCCGCAACTACGAAAGAAATATTAAGGTAAACCTAACCATAGCATGAAACATATGGATGCAAATCAGCCCCTTACGAAGCAATGCATAAACTAGGGTTTAAACTTCTGTCACTCTAGCAACCCATCATCCACTTATTACTTTCCAATGCCTTCCCCTAGGCCCAAATAATGGTGAAGTGTCATGTAGTTGACGTTCACATAACACCACTAGAGGAGAGACAACATACATCTCATCAAAATATCGAATGAATACCAAATTCACATCATTACTTATAACAAGACTTCTCACATGTCCTCAGGAACAAACATAACTACTCACAAAACATATTAATGATCAAGATCAAAGGAGTATTAATTATCATTAAGGATCTGAAAATATAATCTTCCACCAGATAAACCAACTAGCATCAACTACAAGGAGTAATAAACACTACTAGCAACCCATAGGTACCAATCTGAGGTTTTGGAACTAAGATCGAATACAAGAGATGAACTAGGGTTTGAGGAGATGGTGTTGGTGAAGATGTTGATGGAGATTGACCCCCTCTCGATGAGAGGACCGATGGTGATGACGATGGCGATGATTTCCCCCTCCCGGAGGGATGTTTTCCCGGCAGAACAGCTCCGCCGGAGCCCTAGATTGGTTCTGCCTAGGTTCCGCCTCGAGACGGAGGCGCTTTGTCCCGAAAGCTTCCTCCAGATTTTTTCTAGGTCAAAACACACCATATAGCCAAAGATGGGCACCGGAGGCCTGCCAGGGGGCCCACAAGGTCGAGGGTGCGCCCTCCACCCTTGTGGCTGGCTGGTGGCCCCCTCTGGTACTTTCTTCGCCCAATATTTTTTATATATTCCAAAAACATGCTCCGTGAAGTTTTAGGACTTCTGGAGTTGTGCAGAATAGGTCTCTAATATTTGCTCCTTTTCTAGTCCAGTATTCCAGCTGCTGGCATTCTCCCTCTTCATGTAAACCTTATAAAATAAGAGAGAATAGGCATAAGTATTGTGATATAATGTGTAATAACAGCCCATAATGAAAAAATATCAATATAAAAGCATGATGCAAAATGGACGTATCAACTCCCCCAAGCTTAGACCTCACTTGTCCTCAAGCGAAAGCCGATACCGATAAATATGTCCACACGTTTAGAGATAGAGGTGTCGATAAAATAAAATACGGACATGAGGGCATCATGATTATCTTTAGAACATCAATATATAATGCCATATAATTTCTTATGCTAAAATAACAATTCGTTCACAAGGTAAAGTATGAATCAA